GGGATCCAAATAAGTGGTGCTCATCCTTCTTCCATCTAGCAATGTGGAAAAAATGGATGTTTGGTATGGGAGAGGGTGATGGTCAGTTTTTGCAAACACTTTGGGTTCTTCAGACTCCAACACTGACTTGTTTTTTTTCTCCAACTTGTCCAGAGTCTCTCCCCACTTCCAGGAATTTTTAGACTGGCTGTTCTAGTGGAATGAAGAATCCAAAGCCCACAGGAGGAAGAAATAAGCATGTGTATTTAAAATGTCTTTTTCTTGTTTGATGGGTAGATCCTGCATAAACAGAGCCATAAAGGACAGTCTTACCTGGTAGATGCTGAGGTGTTGACGCACGATGTTCCTTATCATGATTACTTCTACACTGTGAAAAGATACTGCATCACCCGCACGGCCAATCAGAAATGCAGATTACGGTGAGCCAGAGCAATGAATATATGGAAGGAAAGACTATACTGTAGGAATTAAAATCTTTACTGAAAGACTTGCCATGCAGCATAGCAAAATTTAATTCCTTTGCACAAATGTCTTCTTTTGAACTGTGACTCCACTTGGGTGAAAAGTTTGTGTACAGTAATGGTTCTTTTTTACCATATTTGCTTACTGTGACTAGGAGAATCATAGAAAATGAGGGTCGAAAGGGACCTCAGGAGGTCATCTAGTCCAACCCCCTGCACAAAGCAGGATCGTCCCCACCTAGATCATCTCAGCCAAGGCTTTGTCTAGCCAGGTCTCAAAAACCTCCAAGGTCCACCACCTCTGTTTCAGTGCTTTACTACCCTCCTGGTGAAAGAGCTTTTCCTAATATTTAACCTAAACCTCCCTTGCTGCAACTTGCGACCATTGCTCCTTGTTCTGTCATCTGCCACCAATGAGAATTGTTTAGCTCCATCCTCTTTGTAACCTCCCTTCAGGTAGTTGAAAACTGCTATTAAATTCCCCCTCAGTCTTCTTCTCTTTTCTAGATTAAATCAGCCCAGTTCCCTCAGCTTCTCCTCATCAGTCACGTGCCCCAGCCCCCTTACCATTTTGTTGCCCTCTGCTGGACTCTCCAATGTGTCCATGTCCTTTCTGTAGTGGGGAGCCTAAAACTGGCCTCAGTACTTCAGATGTGGCCTCATCAGTACAGAATAGAAAGGAATAATCACTTCCCTCAATCTGCTGGCAGTGCTTCTACTAACGCAGCCCAGGATACCATTAGCCTTCTTGGCAACAAAGGCACACTGCTGGCTCATATTCAGCTTATTGTCCACTGTAACCCCCAGGTCCTTTTCTGCAGAGCAGCTGCTTCAGCCATTTGGTCCCCAGCCTGTATCAATGCATGGGATTTGTTCCACCCTAAGTGCAGGACTTGTTCTTATTGAACCTCATGAGATTTCTTCTGGTTCAATCCTCCAGTTTGTCTAGGTATCTCTGAATCCTAGCTCTACTCTCCAGCTTATCTACTACTTTCCCCAGCTTGGTATCATCTGCAAATTTAGATCTGGTTATTTTAGTAACAAACACAAGCTTTGCCCTCCTGTGTCCTTGCAGGTCCAACCTAGCTATAAGGGTGAGCCTGGGTTTTAATCCTCCTTGAACATTTTAAATAAACTGTTCACCAGGGTTCAGTCAGTAGACCTGTGCAGGTGCTCAGAAGCAGAGGATTGCATAGAAATCAGTCTGCAGAATGTTTGTATCATGGGTGTTGCTGGTGAAGTTTCATAGATGGAACTAGAAGTAGAATGTATTCCTGAAGATGGTGCCCAAGAGAGAAATGAGCTTGTATGACACCAATTCTAGGCTGATTTTGTAGTCTGGGAGGTCTCTGCCTTTTTTGGAGAAAAATGTGTGTGTGTGTGTGTGTGTGTGTGTGTGTGTGTGTACACATGTGGTATGAAAAAATATTGAAATGAACACGAAGCTCGGAGATGCCATCTTTATTCACTTCTCAGAGTTGAGCTAGATTCTATAAGATTAAGTCTAGTATCAGTTAATCTGAACACTGCTCTGCAGGAAAGCTTGGTTGGATTTCAGTCTGTGATCCATGGCCCTAGCAGGTCTTAAAGGGTGAAGGCTTGGGAAATGGAATGCTCTGAGTAAGTCTGCTTGCTGAGTCGAGAAACGGCATTGACTGACCCAGAAGGAGGATCTTTTGATCATGACCTCTTAAAGGGAGAGGGGTATTTGGTTTGAAAGCAACTTGGGCAGGGTGTATGTGACAGACAGATAGCAGGTGTCATAATGCAGGATTATTTGTCGAGGTAGTAGAAAGATTTGTTTTTACATTGGAAAATGCTTTTTTTTGTCAAATGGATGCTTTTCATGCCAAACTGGGAATGTTATCAATAAAAGGATATGCTTTGGTGAGGTTGAAACACTCTGTTATGACCTATTCAGAACAGAATTTTGACTTGTTTTATAATTGATTGTACATTAAGAAAAGCTTCAAAAGTTTTGCAGAAAATATGAAAATTCTTTGCTTTCACTTTGAAGCAGAAATGAAAATTAAATTCAAAATGAGGCAATTTCCCATGAAAAATGGTACAGAGACCAGAATTCCCATTCATGGCTTTTCTGGAACCATGCTTCTTTCCTAACATTCCAGTGCGAGTGGTGTGGATGGCAGCACCTTGGCTCCTTATACTCATTGTTGTTTTAGTTTGTGGATACAGGCTAAAAGTGTGTTCCTGGTAAGCGACAGAACCCTTGCTACTGGTGTTTTTATAAGTGATGCATTTCAGGTTGCTTTACCATTATGTTTTGTTGTATTGCAGGGTATCTGCAGATGTGAAATACAAGAAACAGCCATGGGGCCTCATCAAGTCTGTAATTGAGAAGAACACTTGGGGAGGGATACAGGAGAATTTCAAACAACTTGGTGAGGGTTTGTCTTTTTTTGGTAAGAAAGGGTGATAGTAGTTATCCTCTTTGTGAATCAGTCATGTAACTGTACATTTTCTTCTAAGAGGGTGTGAGTACAGGATTTTGTGCCTCCTACAAGTGAGAGGTTTTTCTCCTGACTTGGGGGGTGTAATCAAATTGGATTGCAAGGGCTCCCAGAAAAACATTCTGAACAATAGTGTTGTGTTATGGGGATATAGACCTAGGAAGGTGTGCAGAACAGAAAAATCCATTAACTGGGTATTGCCTTTTTAATCAAAGAATTTAATTGGTACTGTGGTTATGAGAGGAGATGGTCATACTTGGTATGCCTTAGCATGTTTGCCTTGGTGGAGAAATGTGCATTTCATCCCCCCACCCCCAACCTGTGATCATGTAGAAGCTTAAGTGATCTTATGTAAAATTACATGCACTTCCATGTAAATTTACATGTATTTCCAGAAAATAACACCATCATGCCTCATCGTCTGTTGTATCCTCCATCTCAAGCAGGTAATGTGAGCGTTTCCATTTTAAGACGTGAAAGGGAAAAAAACTAACCTTTTATTTGTTTTAAACTGTAGAATCAGATCTGCTAATGGAGGAGTATGCAATAAATCAATCTCTGGAAGATCCCGGCAAACTTATTGCCATCAGACGACGACGACGGACTTTACACCGGACTATGGGAGAGTTGCTTCCCAGGCGTTCATCCCAGCATTCCTCAGGAGACGTATTGGAGTCCCAAGGCAATGCAATAGGTGGGTATAACTAGGTGGGACAGGAGGGCTGACGAGAGGGAGGGAATAGTCCATGGCAGCTCCTTGTCCAAACTGTGCATGCTAGAGAGGATGCTTAATCAGTAATGGAAGTTAAATGCAGTGCTGATTGAGTTTATTAGGTTAGTTACTGAAAAGCTAGGTGTATTTATTTTCTATTCCTAATGCTCCAAATCCTATGTGTACAAGCTTTTTTGATCCCTTTGCTGTGATCAGTGTAGGGAGAATTCAGGTCTAAGCTATAGTGCATTCTGCTCCAGAAGAATGCTAAACATGGTACATAGCCTGCATGGGTTAGGGTGAGAAGAGATTCAACTTGGATGGGAGAAAAGTGGGAGAACCCTATTTTAAGCATACTGTTGGGGGAGGGGGAGGAAAAATAATTTGATCGTTTGGAATCTGCAGACATGTACCAGAGAGTTCAGTACCCGAGAACAATTACTTTAGTACAAGTGCCTCCTGGTCTCATCACCTATATCTGGTTTTCATTAATCTTGCTCCTTTTTTTTCAATCTCTTGTCTGCTTCAGTAATTTCTGGAGCACTGATGCTTTTCTTGTAGTATCTTGCCCCTTGCAAACCAGTAGGCAGAACAGATTGACTTGAAAGTGCACATGGTGTTCAGTAATTACCTCTGCAGAGATGAGGAACATCTCTGCTCTGAAGCATGCCAAAATTGCTCTGAATTGTATGAAGCAACTTTTTAAATCATAAGCACTGAACCAAGCGTGCATGCTTCATGCCAGGCAAAAGCCACTGGGGACCCAGGAGACTTTGGGTTAGCACCATATGTAAATATTTTGTCAGTGTAGGCCAACTTCTACATTTTCCAGTGTGTTCACCAGTGCTCCAGCTGTCCAGGCGAGTGCCTCTGCCTAACTATACAGGGCAGCCTGAATATATGTTCCTTTGCCAGGTTAGGAAATCTGAATGTTAGAAACTGTTTTAGAAGATTGGCTAACTTACATGATTCTAGGTTGACCCATCTGCAGTGGTCAGGGATACTCATTCAAATTGAGATGATGTGCATGACACTCATTGAATTCAAGATGATGTGCGTACTGTGTCCTACCCATGTCTAGGTTCCCGTGCCTACAGACAGGAAGCTGGTTTTACGCTCACTTGAATGAAAGTGATTTCTTCAGGAGAATGGTTACTAAAACCAAGTTGACTTGGGGTTAGACAGAGGAAAAAACTGGAGTGATGACTGGGTAGGTCAAAGTGAGGCAAGTTTCTACTGGGTACTGCTTTCTCCAAGGTAGAAGCAGTATGTTACAGCGCTGCTTGGGAAGTAGCAGAAGAGATGGCTATGTGAACCTGTCTCCTTCAGCTGATTTCTCCCTTAGGACAGGTACAAAAATAGCTTTTGCTTTGTGTCCAAGTGGGCACATGTAGCATGTCGTATACTTCAGATGTCAATACGTGTAAAAAGCTAATCTGTGCATCCATCAGGGACTGCCATCTGATTTATTTTGCATAGTTGATTTATACTCTAAAACCAGATTTAGGCAGATTAACATTGAGCATTTTCTAACCTGGTCTCTCTTCCATGCCCTGTAGGAAGGAAAAGCACCGCCACAAGTAGGACCACAGCCATCATTGTGGCAATGAGTGTCTTGTAAGTACTCCCTGATGCTAAACCATAATTGAATTGATGATACCCAAGAACTGATCTTGGTTATGGCTCTACAGAAGCGTGAATAGTGGAGATGGGATGGACTATTCATAAAGTCCAGGAGTTGCCAAACTGTTGGCACATGGTCCATCCACTGCAGAGTAAAGCTTTTTGTCATCTTTGATTGCAAGGGACTGTCTTTCACGTGTTATGCAATGGAATCCTAATACTTGGGGATTCTGCAGAGTACTGGAACACACAGTTTAAATACCTAACCCGCAGCTCTTGGGTTGCTGAAGTGTAGGTTGAGGGGGCAGGGAGGGGAAATCCATGGGAGGATTTGCATGTTGTGGTATGTGCAGAATGAGAAGCTGAATCGTTAGAGTAGCCCATCCTTCTGCTTCTGTGGCGCATTTTCTGCCATTTAGCCAAAAGGTTTAAAAATCTCCAGTGATAGGACACCTTAGCCACTGCCTTCAGAGGAGACTGTCCTACAGCTTAATCTTGCTATGAATTTCTTGAGTCACTTTGTTTATACATGACTTTCTTCATGCATTTTCCTGAGGACTTGTTCAGGTGGCATTCTCTCTTCATTCTAGCAGTTATATGCCATCTGTTACAGCAACAAAATGGTATTGCAAATGCTTAACTGATTTTTCTTTTTATTTCTTTACCCAGCTTGCTGCTCTTAGTTTTGCTGAATGTGACACTGTTCCTCAAACTGTCAAAGATTGAGCATGCAGCTCAGTCACTCTACCATGTCCAGCTTCAGGAAGAGAACTCTTTAAAGCAAGTGAATTTCTGTCTGAATTCTCCCACTTTCTAGCCTTAATATAAGAACCAGATAAAAATTGACCTGTGATGCAGGGGCCAAATAGACAAAGGTTTTGACTTGTATTTATTTCTGCAGTCCATGGTGGTGTCCAGCAAATGACTTTATATTGCCCCACTGAATTTCTTTCTCCTTCAGCTGTTCTGGAATTAGCTAGCTCCAGTCTGCATATTGTACTCTGCCCTACATCTCTTTTCTCTTCCTGGAGACTTTCACAGAATTGCAGTCTCCAATTTCTATTGGTCCTGACAGGGTCAATGTTTAATAAGCCCCCAAAATAGGAGTTGGGGGGGGG